ACTATTTGTCTTGCGTGCTGACAAGTCTCACACAAAGAGAAGATGTGATTGCGACTGTTCAGTCTAGCCTGAATGCTTCTTAAAGTCGCTCTTTTTTTCGTTTAATTCTAGGTTCAGAACAATTATAACAGAGGATTTTTTTTTTTAATGTTTCTATTTCTAGTTCTTCCACTGTCACTCTGACAAGTTAATTGATACTCACCCACGCAACATTTAAAGAGTAGAAACAATCACAACTTTCCAGCAGAAATCATGGAAATGAGGTATCTCCGTGATGAAGTAGTATGCATTTTAACCCTTGTATTTCATGGATATTGAACTCCACCGTGTCCCTACAGAATGCATCTCCTGTATTATTGCTGCTCATCTACGATGATGGTGTTATCTGTTCGATTATTCCACTTTATTTCTAGGTCCTCCTGGTCCCCCAGGGGTTGTAATAGTGGAGGAAATTACAGACACCACAGCAACACTCTCCTGGAGTCCTGGGGCAGACAATCACAGCCCTATCTCCCTCTACAACCTGCAAGCACGCAGTCCATTTTCTCTTGGCTGGCAGACTGTAAAAACAGGTGAGAAAAACTTTCAAACAGCACAAATAGACTGTTCAAAACTCCTGCTCATCACAGTAATAACCACCGGCAACTGCAGGAACAGATACTCTTAAGAGAACAATGATAAATTAAAAGCACTGATCTTTTTTTTTCTTTTTTCATTCCTTTCACGTTACTTAGCAACAGCTCTGAAAGGACAACACAAAGACACCTGCCATGATGCATCTGTGAATAAGCAGAAAGCTCTCCCCTATATCCTTCAATCTGTGTCTTTTCAGGAGTACCACAGTGCCAAAAACCTAGCTGTGATTTCTGACATAATAGATCCTTGATGTCTATAATTTCTAATGGCCGTGTTGTATCACAAAGTCCGCTTGCCATTGAGACACTGCATCTGAGCTTCAGATTTCTGAGTGACCTATACATTTCTTTACTGTCTGCAGTTCCTGATGTGATAAGTGGTGACATGGAGTCTGCTATGGCTGTCGAACTGAACCCTTGGGTGGAGTATGAGTTCAGAGTTGTAGCAACAAACAAAATTGGGACTGGAGACCCAAGTGCACCATCACGAGTGATCAGAACCAATGAAGCAGGTAAGAAGAGGATAAAAAGGTTAATTGTGCAGCACTACCAGAAACAAGAACAGTTTTAATATAATAATAGAACTATTCTCCCTGGTACACATCTGTGTGTTCAGTCATCACTGTTCCAGGGTGATATTCTTTGTAATGGGGATCCAGTTTGTTTTAATTACAGGAATATTGTTTAATTTACAGAAATTTGAAATAAACCCATTCCCTGCTGGCTTACTTCATCCAGGCTGCCTTATTCTTCATCTTACACTTAAGCCATTGCTGCCCGCCCTCTGGCAGGCTTCCACTGCTCTTCGATTGTAGGCTGCTTCTCAGTTTTTTCACACAACTGCTCCCAAGCAGCCTCTGCCCCCTTAGTCTTCATAACTTCTCTCCTTGAAGGTACACAGAATTTTTTTCAGCAAGATAGGGAAGCCATGGGAAGCTACTTAATTTGAAATACCTTGTGCTCTAAGTGTTTCTTTGTAATGCACACTCTACCATGAACTGTTAGTGCATTTAAAGAAATTTTATTGTATTTCTGACTGGGATGGTACTGTGGGAGCCCAGGAAAAGCATTGTATATCCCATTTGGGTCTCTTGAAAATTGAAGTGGTCTTGCAAAGTTTGGAATTATTGACAGTAACTTGGGCGAATGAAGGGAGATAAAGAAGGATTGGGAATCTGAGAAAAAACCCTAGGCAGCTAGAGACACACATTTTAAGAGGCAGAAAGAGGCAGAGATAGGGTTTGAACAAAGCCTTAGAAGAGAACTTGCATCTCAGAACACTTTCAGATTGTTCTTCATTCTTCTTTGTTATTTAGGAGGCCTAGAGAGTTTTAATTTTGTTTTGATGCTTCTTCGGCTGAATAATTTGTAAGTAGTTTATTAATCATATAGAACAGAAGAGTGCCAAATTCAAAGATTCCACTTGAATTTGAAAGTATAACTGATTTTGTAGTTGTAAATATTCTGGATGAATACAGCAGTTGTGTTGCATTGTCTTCTTATTAAGGGAGATTATAAGAATTACAAATGACAATGACAAAATGTGTCCACCTCTCTCATTCTGAAATAAAATTCTTATCTTTTAAGATATGTTAATCTTGTGCCTCAGCTCTATAGTTCACCAGTCTGTGTGTATGCCACCCATAAATATTCACAGCAGAACGTTCAGGCTGATTTTTTTAGGCAGAACCACAGAATCAACTGAATAATTGGGGCTGGAAGGGATCGCGGGAGGTCTCTAGTCCAGCCTCCCACTCAAAGCTGGGTAAACTGACATCAGAGCAGGTGTCTCAGGGCTTTTTCCAGTTAAGTCTTCGAAACCTCCAAGGAGGGAGATTGCACATTGTCTCTGGGCAACCTGTGCCAGCAGTTAACTAATCTCATTGTGATTTTTCTCTCCATATGTCCAGCCAGAACTCCCCATATTTCCGCTTATGACCACTGTCTCTTGCCCTCCCACCCTGCACCACTATGAAGAGCCCATCTCTGTCTCCTCAGTGACCTCCCCGTAGGCACTGGGGACTGCTGTTAAGTCCCCCAAAGCCATCTCTGCTCCAGGCTGAACAAGCCCAGCTCCCCAGCCTTTCCTCACAAGGCAAGTGCTCCAAGCCCACCAGTGGCCTCCCCTGAACTTGCTCTAGCTGGTCACTATCTTTCTCATTGTGGCACCCAAAATTGGATGCACTATTTCATATGAAGTTTAACAAACCTATCTTCAGTAGTAAAAAGACATATTTTCTTTTTCTGCTTTAAATAACTGTGTAGTTGCTAGCTGATATTAAATTTCACTGTGCAATCACAGAACTGCACTGAAGTGATTTGATTCCCATTCACGCATGTGAAAGGATGCTTCCTTTCCAACTCTCCCCCTCATCTTCTGCAAGCTGCCCACATTGTGAAACTCGATAACTTTATAGCAGAAGCTTCAGATGCTACATACTTTGTTCTATTAAGAAAAGGAGGAAAGGAAAATGAAATAAAAAACCACAAGCTACTTTCATCTCAAATGATCTTAAAAAAAACCTTATTTCACCACCATTATTCTTTCCTTGATTTTGTACCATATTTCATTGGGAGTGAAAATTCTGCTGGACCCAAATGTTTGAATGACTTCTCTATTTATTCAGATGGTACATATCAGAGAGGACAGAAACATTCTGGAAAAAGTTTATCCTGCAATAGGTTGCACTCCTGGGATTATGTTTCAGATTTATGAATATGATCCCTGTTTTGAAAGGATGGTTCAGAATTTTAATCAACCAGATGTATTTAAGCTGTGAGTGAATTTTTTTCTCACAAACTGAAGTTCTAAAATGTTAGATTTCATCTAGCTGTCATGGTTTTTTAGGTTCTTCTTCTTATTTCCCGGTGTTTACCAAACAAAGGCTGAATTTACTAAAACATATTCTTACAACTCTAGTAAAAGTCTTCTTCATGCACATCCGTTTCCAATATGCCTTTGGACAATCATTGCAACTTTACCTCTGTATAAATTAATTGATAAATCAAAATAATGATCAGTAAAAAAAAAATTGTGAGACAGACAAAGCATGCAGCATGCGGTGTATTTTCACCCGGTGATTGGTATTCATTTCTGGGTAATACTCCACTATTGCTGCCATCAGAAGGAACAGAGCCTTTAACTGAAGTGGCAATGGTCTGTACTCCAGTACACGGGGCTCCTCCTGGTAAACAGCACTGTAGCTCATAATAATGCAGTTCTTCTTGAATAATAAATCAGTAACATATTAGTTCAAATAGGAAAAAGGCCACACTAGATGTTTACCTGCACTTTCAGATCCCCAGTTAAGAATACCCGTTTGTTACCAGAGTTAGAGCTGCACAAATGTCATGTTAGAAGGGAGTGTTTTGTAGCATGACATTGAAATTCAGACAGGTGCCAGTAAAACAACTTAACAGCCTTCAGAGAAACTGAAGCTGAATTTATTTGGTGTGCCTGCTTAACACGGCATGGTACAACAGAAGTCTGTTGTCATTGCCTTAATTTCAAAAGACATTTCTTTAAGAAAAAGTTTGGTTTCTGTTTTAGTTGTGAATGATTTTGGACTGGGGAGGGTAATAAAAAAGATAGATGCAGTCTCATTTTTTTATTCTGTAGAGGGAGTGAGAAGACAGGAGTTACAATAAGATATAACTTCCCAATTTGTTAGAACCTGCAAAGAGTTGTAAAGTTGAACAATAACACAATGGACTCTGCTTTAAACAAAAAAACAATCAACAAAAAAAACCTGTTACACATATAACTCTTTGCAATATAGCATGTTGCTAATAACTTTTGTGGCACTCTTGAAATGCCAGAGGCTTCGTGATCTGCTTCACTCTGGCAGCCAGTTTTTCCTGGTGTCTAGATCTTTCTGAAGTCCAGAGCCTGTTTAGCTCTGTCCTCTGACACAGCTCTTTCAGTGATTGTGTGAATTATCACACTTGGTATAGTTTTGAGATGCCAAAGTTGAAGAGACAGGAAAGCTATGAATAGTTTTCATTGGGTTTCATATATGGTTTTCCAAATCAGCACATGAATATCTATCTTGGTGTATTACCCAGTGACTATTCTTTTTCAGAATCTCTCTATTACTAGTTTTTTATCTGAAAGCTTCAAGCTAAAATCTCTATTAACATGGGTTCCAGTTCTAATATCATCAATCTCAATTCTTAAAAGATATATATGTGAAAGGACATTATATTTCAGAAAGAATATGGCATCAACCTCTCTAGTTATGACCCAGGCAGAGTAACCTGGCTATTTGCAGTGATGTTAGATGTGCCCCACAAGTGAAAACAGGCAGGCTAGCCCTGCACTGGGTAAAACTCCAGAAACAAAAGTCTCCCAGCGGAGAAGGTTACTGTGGCTTATGCTCAGATGAGAGTTGAGATCCACAAGGCTGAATGATAGCTGTGTAGACAACCCACAGAGGCAGCAAATGTGTGATTCTGTTTCCATTATTTTATACTTAAATGGAAATCGGCATCTGTAATTTAATGGCACAAGCTAATTTGACTGGAGACTAAAGTCTTTTTCTCTCCCCACACCTCACTTATTTTATCACTTTTTCCCAAGATAGTAACAACATTTTATATTAGTCCATTATCTAAAAATATTCATGGAAGCAATACTTGGGATGGTGTAAGGAAATCAACAGAATAATAAACAGGTTTCCACTTACTTTAATTTTCTAATTAAACCCTAATCTTGTTACTTAGTTCATATTTAGTTAACATGATTGCTTTTCATAACTACTTTCATCAGAATGGATAATACCGCAATTTTCTGGCACATCTAACTTATAGCCAGCTGCTGCATTTCTGTCAGTTCTAGCCTTGATACATATTTTACAGGTCCACAAGGTGAAAAGAGCCAATAACATGAATTTAAACATGTCTGGCATTCCACTAAGGCAGTCGGGCATTTGAAGCCTAGGGGCAAAGCATCAATTACATTATCTATTCATGGGGAAACATGGGGAGAGAGAAATTGAGTAGAATCAAAGTTTAACCTGCTAATCATGCATGCAAACTTGATTTTATGAGGTAACAAAGTAATACACTCTATTAGTAGCAGTTTGTACACAGGCTTTTTTTTTTTTTTAACAACTCCTTATTTTCCATTAAGTTGCCCTTATTCTCAGCTAGAATTTCTTCATGGCATAACAAGAAATGCTTCTGTCCCAGGAAAAAAGTTACCTGTTTTAGACTGGCTTTGGTTTTTTTTTGTTGTTGTTGTTGGGGTGGTGTTTTATTTGTTTGTGACCTGTATAAAAGAAGTTCCAGCTTTTCCCATTATCATAACTATTTTTGCTCTAGAAAAAATGACTAACCTGCTGTATCTGTGACATTTGGAGACCATTACCTGGGCTACTAAAGCCTTGGTAGAAAATGTGCTTTTCCATAGGGAAAAACAAAAGGAGAAGAGAAAGTAGATGGTAATCATTGACTGCATGGGCATATTTAGAACAAATAGGCTACTAACACATAATATTGCAGGCTCAAACTA